TTTTTTTATTGGCTTTACATTCATTCATCAGTTAGTCACCAAGCATTTATTAAGTAGTTATTACATGTCAGACACTGTGCTAAGGGTTGGGTAATACAGAGAAAGGCAAGAAATTGTTCCTGGCCTTATGAAACTTACATTCTAAAGGGAGAGTCAACATGTAAATAGCTAGATACATATAGATACATATACAGAACAAATGGAAGGTAATTTTTTTAAATAATATTTTTTTTTCCCAATTTACATGTAAAAACAATTTTTAGCATTCATTTTTTGAGTGCCATATCCTCTTCCTTCATCTCTTCCCCCACCCCAGACAGTAAGCAGTTGATATAGGTTATACATATGTAATCATACAAAACATATTTCCATATTTATCACAACTTTTAATATTTAGGTTGCATATCCATTTTGAGCTCTTTGTATATGGCTTAAGATATTAATTTCTAATTTAGTTGATTCTAATTTCTCTTATCGTACTTTGCAATTTTCCCATTAATTCTTGTTCAATAGAGAGTTCTTGCCCATGCAATGTATAATTTCAGGTTTATCAAGCACTGTGGGTTATTGAGTTTGATGTTTCTGAGACAAAATAGTGTACTATATAGCGAGCTAGACTTGGAGTCAGGAAAACTCATTTCAGATCTTGCCTCCATCACTTACTAACTCTCAGCCTCACTTTTCTCAGCTGTAACTTGTGGATAATAATAGCACCTACCTCTTAGGATTGTTGTGAGGATCAGATCAGATACTATATGTGAAGCACTTTGCAAACCTTAAAGCACTATAGATATATAATGCTTGTATTTATAAGCTACTGTTCTTATCTAATCTATTCCACTGATCTGTTTGTTTTTTTTTTTTAAGTATCAAATAGTTTCTTTATGATTACTGCTTATTGTAATTAATTTGTCTAGTTTCATAAAGAAGTACATTGGAAACAAGTAATTTTGTTTCCTCTTTACCTATGTTTATACCTTTAATATTTTTCTCTGATCTTTTTGTGAGTGCTAGCATTTCTAGAACTATGAAATGAAAGGAATCAGAAAGGGAGTATCTTTGACTTACTCTTGCATTTATGGGGAAAGCTTCAGGTATTTCTCCATTGCAAATACTTTGGTTTTAGCTATGTGCTTTTGTGGTATTCAGAAAACTGCCCTTTGTATATATTTTTAAAACTTATTGCTGAAAATGCTTTAGCCTTGCATACACTTTCCTATAAATCAAATGTTATATGTATAAGAAGTTATTTACTATTTAAAGAAGTTGGTGCAGTCATATCTTATATGGCAAGTTTTATTTGACCAGCTTTTTTTCCCCAAGTGTAAGTGGTGCTTGGTTGTAACTGGCAACAAAAACTCAAGTCTTATTGCCATTTATCTTTTAGGACATTAATTTTTTCTTCCT